TGTATCAGCCAGGCAGCCGGGCACCCACGCGCCCGCTCCGCGCCATCGCAGACGACGATGCGTCGCGCCTTTAGTATGCTTCTGGATGCGAAGACCATTCGGTTGAGTATACCCCTACGTGTGACTGGACCTGTTTGCGAAAGCAGGAGAAGTATGGCACCCCTTTGTGTCCAGAGCCGCGCCGTCTGCGTTCTTCCTTTCTCGCTTCTCTCCTTTCCTCCTTGTCCTGCTCCTCCTCCCCCTCTTCCGCCTTGGAGCCGTATTGGAACTGTCGATGGCCATCTCCCTTTCTCCCTCGCATGTCTGCTTGTACATACGTATAATTTCAGAACTTACCGTGCATGCGATCGTTTACAACATGGTGGACCGTGCGTATGTCACGAACCTTGTATACATGTGTTTCTCTCCCTCCGTCTGGCTGTGCACGCGCGCGTTGGGCACTGAGAGTTAGGATCATAGCGCCATGAGTCTATGAGCAATGCATGCGTCATCCTTGGGACTGTATAACATCAGTGTAACACATGTACTTCTGTAATCGCATCCCCACGAATTTGCCCCAAAAATGTGACCAACTATCTTGGCACTGCGTACCATCTCACGTGTACCGTGTACCACATCATATGTAACAGATGTGATCAACCTCTGTGGGTGTGTACCCCACGCCAGTGTAGTAGCCAGGGTCGTCCGCACGCCACGAAGTGAAGTGTCCCAACGTCATAGGGCGGGAAGCTGGGTGTGGGTGGTCTCGAAGAGTCGTTTGGATATTTGGTAGAGCTTGAACGGCCCCCCCACGAAGTGGGGGTATTGGCTGGTGTCGCAAGAAAACCCTGGCACTGGGGAGAACACTGAGCGTTCGGGTAAAATGATTGTTGTTGTTGTTGTTGTTGTTGAACATTATTAATTCTAAAGAATAATTATTGTTGGGGCCCCTGGTGCACGGCCCCCCTGCCCGCCTAGGCCGCAGCTACATTTTCATCATTTTCGTGAGGAAGCCTCAGGTAATTCGATGTGATCAAGATCCGGTTGTTTTGTTTCCCCCCGCTTTCCCTTGCAAAAAACACTATAAAATGACATTTCTTGTTCTAATATAATCAAATTTCAAGAATCCCTTGCAAAAAATAAGGTAAAGTGGACATTCGCGCGCGCAAGACGAAATCCTTCCAAAAGCTTAGTGTTCGGAGCGATTTCAACATAAAAACATCAAAAAACCAATGGTTTTTCAACAAAAAAATGTCAAAATCTCATCCCGCGCGCTCTTGCGGATTCGTAGGAAACCCAACACTTTTTAAACATTTCTGTCAAACGGGCTTTTGCGAGCAACTTTTTCGAACTTCTGCAACAACGGTTGCGCACCTGCCAGGGCCATCATCCCTGTCAAATAATACCATGCGGGACACATTCGTTTTTTCTTCGCGCGCGCCCCGAAATAAGTGACCAAGTTCTGTGGGTGTGTACCCCACGCCAGTGTAGTAGCCACGGTCGTCCGCACGCCACGAAGTGAAGTGTCCCAACGTCATAGGGCGGGAAGCTGGGTTTGGGTGGTCGCGAAGAGTCGTTTGGATATTTGGTAGAGCTTGTAATGCCCCCCCACGAAGTGGGGGTATTGCCTGGTGTCGTATGAAAACCCTGGCACTGGGGAGAACACCACGCGTTCGGGTAAAATGATTGTTGTTGTTGTTGTTGTTGTTGTTGTTGCTGTTGAACTCTCATTCTTGAAGAATAATTATTGTTGATCCCCCCCACCGGTGCACATTGATTTGTTTCGATTGAAGTGCCACCCCCGGGGCTCGCACCTTGTTTTTTCTCAAGGACAGTCTTCCTGCTCAAACTGTGCCCCTGCCCCCCGGGCTACAACAACAACGGCTCCCGCCTGAGATTTCTTCGGTTTTTACTCAGGACCTCCGCTCCCGCCTGAGAATTCCGCGCAATTTACTCAGGAAAGGCGCTCCCGTCTGAGACTTCCTCGCAATGTAATCAAGACCCCCGCTCCCGCCTAAGACTTCCGTGCGATTTACGTGGGAACGGCGCTCCCGCTTGAGACTTCTTCGAATTTTACTCAGGACCCCCGCTCCTGCCTGACATTTCCGCGCAATTGACTCAGGAACGGCGCTCCCGCCTGAGATTTCCTCGCAATTTAGTGAGGACCCCCGCTCCCGCCTGAGACTTCCGTGCAATTTGCTCAGGAACGGCGCTCCCGCTTGAGACTTCCTCGCAACTTAGTCAGGGCCCCCGCTTCCGCCCGAGATTTCCTCACAATGTACTCAGGACTGCGCTCTCGCGTGCGACGTCCTCACAAATTATTCTGGAATTGCGTTTCGGCGCTCAGAAACCACGCGCGCGCCAAGGACGCCTTCACAACGTGGTATCTTCCCTCTTCCTTCGTCCTTCCCCCTCCCCTTCCTCCCACTCTCCCTCGTTCTTCCCCTCCTCCTCTTGCAGGGCCCGCGCCAATTCCAATGGCGGGCAGAGAGATGTACGCCCCCGAAGGATTGTCCGCCCGTTCCGGTTTGCCCGTACGTCTAAGCCCGCCGGCCCCAGCAAAGAGAAATAATCCCCCCGAAAGGGGTGTGATCGAAGACGAAGAGGGCGGGTATCGAGGGTGTAGGGTATACGTGTTGAATGACTCGCGGGCAAGTAAGAGCGTACAGCCTTAAAATGGTTGTTGTTGTTGTTGAACATTAATTTCTAAAGAATAATTATTGTTGGGCCCCCTGGTGCACGGCCCCCCTGCGCCGCCTAGGCCGCAGCTACATTTTCATCATTTTCGTGAGGAAGCCTCAGGTAATTCGATGTGATCAAGATCCGGTTGTTTTGTTCCCCCCGCTTTCCCTTGCAAAAAACACTATAAAATGACATTTCTTGTTCTAATATAATCAAATTTCAAGAATCCCTTGCAAAAAATAAGGTAAAGTGGACATTCGCGCGCGCAAGACGAAATCCTTCCAAAAGCTTAGTGTTCGGAGCGATTTTAACATAAAAACATCAAAAAACCAATGGTTTTTCAACAAAAAAATGTCAAAATCTCATCCCGCGCGCTCTTGCGGATTCGTAGGAAACCCAACACTTTTTAAACATTTCTGTCAAACGGGCTTTTGCGAGCAACTTTTTCGAACTTCTGCGACAACGGTTGCGCACCTGCCAGGGCCATCATCCCTGTCAAATAATACCATGCGGGACACATTCGTTTTTTCTTCGCGCGCGCACGCCGAAATCTCCAAAAACCATTGGGTTCTGTGGGTGTGTACCCCACGCCAGTGTAGTAGCCACGGTCGTCCGCACGCCACGAAGTGAAGTGTCCCAACGTCATAGGGCGGGAAGCTGGGTTTGGGTGGTCGCGAAGAGTCGTTTGGATATTTGGTAGAGCTTGTAATGCCCCCCCACGAAGTGGGGGTATTGCCTGGTGTCGTATGAAAACCCTGGCACTGGGGAGAACACCACGCGTTCGGGTAAAATGATTGTTGTTGTTGTTGTTGTTGTTGTTGTTGTTGTTGTTATTGTTGTTGAAAATCCTCTGGCGCATAACGGTCGTGACCCTGGCCCTTACCCCGCCCCCCCCCCCCCCCTTTCGATAACGGTCACGATCGTGCGTATGATGGAGCTTGAATCCCGCCCCCGTGCGAATCATCGCGCGCATATCACGGCGATCGCAGCGTATCCTTTGTCCCGACGTGCCCCACCCACCCCAAGCGTTACCGTTACCTGGGCCCGACCCCCCGCTGTGGTAACGACTGCTACCAGAAATAACATGTAGACAATAATCTTCCCCTGTCCTTATGACTCCGGTGCCTGTGGATGCCTGGCCTGTCGGCTAGCCCCAGCTTGACTTGGCTCAGCTGTGCCGAGCTGCCTGGAGCGGCACGGCGTGGGCGTGTCTTCGTGTGAGCGAGCATCCGCCAGATCCCACGGAAAGTGCGAGGCTGTGAGATTTGTTGCTGAATTGCTGCCTTGTGTCTTCTGTGTCGCCTTGCGTTGTAGTCATTACAGGGCCGATCCGAACAAAAACAAGAGGCCAGAAAAGGGTGGCCCTCTGGCCGGTCTAGGCTGCCTTCGCATTGCCAGTCGCTTGGGCAGCCCCAAAAGGAGGTCCGGGTACAGGGGATGGCGGCACTGAAATATCTGGCGTGCCCGTGCAAAAGTGGCTGTGCCCACCTGCCGTCCGTTCCAGCCCGTGCCTGCAAACGGCCTCGGGCAGGCAAGGAAACGAGGCAGAGGGCAGACAGGCGTCTCCACGTGTTTTCGACGACCTCGGCGGACCATCCACGACAGTGCTCGCATCAAGAGTTCGCACGCTTGGCACGGAGTGCTGATTCCGACACAGTGCGCGTCACTGTGGCAACGCGCGCGGACGACGCGTTGCAAACATGTATCGCAGACGAGCGGCGGTATTGTAAATGTACTGCGCCAGACAAGTGTACTGTATTTTTGGTTTGCGACCGTCGCATTGCACGCAAGCGTCGAGCAATCCATTGCGCTCTGGAACAGATTGCACGCCCCAAGCCGTGGTGTTACAACGTGATGCAGCTGGCGGATTGCATTGCGCTGCTGCGCTGGCCGATTGCGGCGTGACCGTCCAGATCTGACGTGATCGCCCAGCGAGAGTGCGAGCAGGGGACGTAGGGGTGCCGCAGGGCGTTCTCCTACTCCGACGGGGGAGCCGGAAGCCCGCTCGCGGCGAACTGGCGGGCCTTGGCACCTCGAGTTCGCACGAAGCTTCAGGGCCCCGGGAACAAAGGGTCGGGGAGCCAACGAGGTGCGACAAGCACAGCATGCAAATGCGTCACTGTCACGAATCAGCCTCAAACTCCCAAAGCGCCACTCCTTTCTACCCGGACTTTTTTGGGGGGGCTGCCTAGAATTGGACGCCACCCCCAAAGGGCAAACCAACGTTTTGCATGTCCCACAGACGGCCCCCAGAGTCTCCGAGGTTGCCCAACACAGCCCCAGGGTGGCCCCCGAAGCCCCCAAGGTGCTGCCTGAGTCGCCCAGGATGAGGCCCCAAGATGTGCCCAAAGATATCCGCAGTCATTTTGGCTCAAGTCATTCTGACTCGAGGCTCGAGACTCACGTTCCCACCCGACAGGCGCCCGCTGCAGCTCGATCGTTCGCCCGCCATGCGCGCGGACAGGAGCGAGTTCCTGCCGCTCCGGCTCCCCCTCGAGAGCGACTGCGAGCCAGGGGTGATCGCCCCCGCGCGGGCGCCGGTCGCGCCGCGCGAGCAGCGCGCTCTGGCCGGGGCGGCGGCGCTGTCGGCGGCCGCGGCGGCGCTGGCTTTGCTGGCTGTGGCTTGGCGCGCGGGGCCCTCCACGGGGGCCGCGACTCTTGCTTCTCCCGAGGCTATAATTGTCGAGGCTGCCAGCAATGTGAGTGGCGGGGATCCCAGCGAGACCGATCCGTGCTCGCAGACGGGGGCGTCTTGCGAAGTTACCCGGTGCTGTTCTGAGCCTGGCGCGAAGTGCTACAAGAAGAACGACCATTGGAGCTCGTGCAACCAAACTTGCAACCCATACAGTCTGTGGACGGTGGACGGATGGGTCACGACGAACGAGACAGTCTGGGACTGCACGGAGATTCGGCCGCCGTGCTCGGCAACTGGGGCGTCTTGCGCACTGTCCCAGTGCTGCTCTGATCCCAGCTCGAAGTGCTACAAGAAGAATGACTATTGGTTTGCGTGCAACCAAACATGCAATCCAAACTACATGTGGATGGAGAACGGCTGGGTCAAGACGAACGAAACAGTTTGGGATTGCGAAGTCATCAGCATCGACAGTACCGACGTTTCGTCTGACTCCGGTGCCGGGAATGCCGCTGACACTGATGCTTCGTCAGACTCCGCGAGTAGCTCCGATGCTGCGACAGCCTCCGTTTGCTCGCCGAACGGGGAGTCTTGCGCACTTACCATGTGCTGCTCTGAGCCTGGCGCGAAGTGCTACAAGAAGAATGACCATTGGAGCACGTGCAACCAAACCTGCGCCCCAAACAGTCTTTGGACGGCGGACGGATGGGTCACGACAAACGAGACAGTTTGGGATTGTGAGGAGATTCGGCTTCCGTGCACGCACAACGGGGCGTCTTGCGCACTGTCCCAGTGCTGCTCTGAGCCAGGGGCGAAGTGCTACAAGAAGAACGACTATTGGAGCTCGTGCAACCAAACTTGCAACCCCAACTACATGTGGATGGAGGACGGCTGGGTCGAGACGAATGAGACAGTTTGGGATTGCGAGGACCTCACCGTGAACCCTGTCGAATCAGCGGATCCCGTCGCTGATGCAGAAGCCGAGGACGAGAAAGGCACGTGCTCTCAGAATGGGGCGTCGTGCGCACTTTCCCAGTGCTGCTCGGAGCCAGGCTCGACGTGCTACAAGAAGAACGACTATTGGAGCTCGTGCAACCAAACTTGCAACCCAAACAGTCTGTGGACGGTGGACGGATGGGTCACGACGAACGAGACAGTCTGGGACTGCACGGAGATTCGGCCGCCGTGCTCGCAACCCGGGGCGTCTTGCGCACTTTCCCAGTGTTGTTCTGAGCCAGGCGCGAGTTGCTACAAGAAGAATGACTATTGGTTCGCGTGCAACCTAACTTGCGACCCCAATTCCATGTGGATGGAGGACCGCTGGGTCAAGACGAACGAGACAGTTTGGGATTGCGAAGTCATCAGCATAGACAGCACCGCTAATTCCACTGATGCCGCTGACATTGATGCTTCGTCAGACTCCACGAGTAGCTCCGATGCTGCGACAGCCTCCGCATGCTCGCAGAACGGGGAGTCTTGCGCACTTACCATGTGCTGCTCTGAGCCTGGCGCGAAGTGTTACAAGAAGAATGACCATTGGAGCTCGTGCAACCAAACTTGCAACCCATACAGTCTTTGGACGGTGGACGGATGGGTCACGACGAATGAGACAGTTTGGGATTGTGAGGAGATTCGGCTTCCGTGCACGCACAACGGGGCGTCTTGCGCACTGTCCCAGTGCTGCTCTGAGCCAGGGGCGAAGTGCTTCAAGAAGAACGACTATTGGAGCTCGTGCAACCAAACTTGCAACCCCAACTACATGTGGATGGAGGACGGCTGGGTCGAGACGGACGAGACAGTCTGGGATTGCGAGGACCTCACCGTGAACCCTGTCGAATCAGCGGATCCCATTGCTGATGCAGCAGCCGAGGACGAGAACGGCACGTGCTCGCAGACCGGGGCGTCTTGCGCGCTGTCCCAGTGCTGTTCTGAGCCTGGCGCGAAGTGCTACAAGAAGAACGACCATTGGAGCTCGTGCAACCAAACTTGCAACCCATACAGTCTGTGGATGGAGGACGGATGGGTCACGACGAACGAGACAGTCTGGGACTGCACGGAGATTCGGCCGCCGTGCTCGCAGCCCGGGGAGTCTTGCGCAGTTACTCAGTGCTGCTCTGATCCCGGCTCGAAGTGCTACAAGAAGAATGACTACTGGTTCGCGTGCAACCAAACTTGCAATCCAAACTACATGTGGATGGAGAACGGCTGGGTCAAGACGAACGAAACAGTTTGGGATTGCGAAGTCATCAGCATCGACAGTACCGACGTTTCGTCTGACTCCGGTGCCGGGAATGCCGCTGACACTGGTGCTTCGTCAGACTCCGCGAGTAGCTCCGATGTTGCGACAGCCTCCGTTTGCTCGCCGAACGGTGAGTCTTGCGCACTTACCATGTGTTGCGCTGAGGTTGGGTCGAAGTGCTACAAGAAGAATGATCACTGGAGCTCGTGCAACCAAACTTGCGACCCGAACAGTATGTGGACGGCGGACGGATGGGTCACGACGAACGAGACAGTTTGGGATTGTGAGGAGATTCGGCTCCCATGCTCTCCAAACGGAGCGTCTTGCGCACTGTCCCAGTGCTGCGCTGATCCTGACGCGAAGTGCTACAAGAAGAATGACTACTGGTTCGCGTGCAACCAAACTTGCGACCCAAACTCCATGTGGACGGAGGACGGGTGGGTCAAGACGGACGAGGCTGTTTGGGATTGTGGTGAACATATTATCGATGAATCAGAGGACTCGCAGAATGTCTGGGACTGGTTGCTTCACCTGCTCAGTAGGTAGTAGCACTTAGCATTTTCAGCCGTCGCCTCCACAACACGTGCAGTCTCGTAGCCTTCCTTCCCTTACCCCCCTTGATCTCATCTTCTACTCCTCGTGCTCCTCCCTAGAGGGCTGCGCCCATTTAGAGCGCCTAGGTGCACGAGATGAGACTGTCAGTGATCCTGTTTTTTTACTTTTTATATGCTGTCAGAAGCTTTTGGCAGCAGAACATATCGTTGGCCTTTGTTTGGGCATCTTGCTGGAGACCCTGGCAGCATGCCGAGGAGCCTGATTGTACCAGATCCCTCGTCGAGAATTCTCAGCCCCCCCCCTCCCCAAGATGGGATGGGCCCCAGGGTTCCACAGATGGAGGGGGGGCGACGACGCCGACGCCAACGCCGACGCCGCCGCCGCCGCCGCCGACGACGGCGACAGCGATGACGACGACGATGACGTCGACGACGCCGAGACGCCGACGACGACGACGACAACAAACCACCCCATACTCACAGGGGGAGGGCGGGGGCCTTTGCGAGGCCTCTGCGAAGCTCACGGGAGTACCCATCCAGTGGGGGGGGCTCGATCCCATATGCAGTGGGTGGGAGGGAGGAGGGGGCAACCCTGGATCATCCATTGCCTCCTGCCCACTCTCTTCTCTCTTCTTCCTCCTCCTCATCCTTATCATCATCATCTGAGATATTCTCGCGTTTTTACCTTTTCGCTTGCCCCTGTCAGTCCAAGACAACCTAAGGGGCCCGTGGGATTGAAGCGGGCTGTATTGATCGAGCCTAGTGCAGAGAATCCCGCCGGGCTGCCTAGTGGGCAGCATGCGCGCAAGGCGCAGCCCAGGCCTTCTTGTGCGACCCACAGGCAGTCCGCTCGAGTGTTGCACTGAAACCGATGGCAAGGATGGGTAGCCTTCCCAAGGGTTCCCTTGAATCCTTGCCTCTTCGGTCCATCCTTGACTACTTGCAATGGCCCGCCGCGCTCGAAAAAGCTTCAACGCGGGCGTCCAAGGGGCTTGCATCCCTAGCGCGCATCCTTCCTATCTGTTTTGGCTGGACGCAGGCAGGCGGAGCCGGGCGGAGCCCGAGGGCGGCAGGCGCAGCCAGGTGCGCGCGAGCCAAGTTTGTCAGTGGCGTTCTTTGCACGGTGGGCGTTGCTGGGTGACCCGTTCACACAAACAGCCAGCGGCCTGGATGGTCGTGCGGGGACCGTGCGGCACGGCGCGCGTCGGTGCGGCACCGCGCTTCCCGTACGCGCGGCGCGGCGCATCGACGGAGTAGCTCGACCAATGAGGACGTTGCCATTGGCCAGAAAACATAGCCTGGCGGAGGAACCAACCAGATGCACTTGTGAATACCGCAGTTGTGGGCATCGTCTTCGGTGGAGCCCTCTTGTCGGGCCACGAAACGTTGCACTGGGTGGGGGAAACGCATGCGGGCTGCTCCACTGGGACCTTCGGTGGAGCTCCCTATGGGGCCACGAAACGTTGTACTGGGCGTGGGAGGCGCATGCGGGCTGCGCCACTGAGACCTTCGGTGGAGCTCCCTATGGGGCCACGAAGCGCTGTACTGGGTGTGGCGGACGCATGCGGGCACCTACACTGGGGGCCTTCGGTGGAGCACCCTATGGGGCCACGAAACGCTGTAGTGGGTGGGGGGACGCATGCGGGCGATAACACTGGGGCCGTCGATGGAGCTCCCTACGGGGCCACGAAACGCCGTACTGGGTGGGGCGGACGCATGTGGGCAATGCCACTCGGACCTTCGGTTGCGCTCCTTGTGGGGCCAAGAAACGCTGTACTGGGGGGGGGACGCATGCGGGCACCCCCGACTTCGGCGGCCGAAGCAGGTCTCCCCCTCCAAGCGCCAGCCTGAAGCTTGCGCCTGAGCTCAGCGCGGAGCTCGGCCTCGCGGCTGGGGTCCCAGCCCGCGCAGCGCTGCATCAGCGCGATCGCCGCCGCCAGGAGCTGGCCCACCTGCTCCTCGGACGGCCCAGGCTCCGAGGAAAGCCCCTCCGCTGCGCCGACTCCGCCACCAGGACGGCCAGGCCCCGCCGCCTCCACCACGCCGGGGCCACGGCGGATCTGGAGGTCGTCAGCCCACACATCGTCCAGGTGCACCTCGTCCTCCGCCTTCCCAGCAGCGGCAACAGCTTCAGCAGCATCGGGAAGGGCAAGAGCAGGGCCAGGCTGCACGCGGCGCCTCCGCCGCCGCCGCCCAGGGCCGCCACCGCCGCCCGCCACCATCTCGTTACCTGCGGCCTCCGCGCCGCCATCCAGCGGGGGCACCGCCGCCGCAGCACCGCCGCGGCCCGCGGCGTCGCGCCCTCGGTGACCGTCGCCGCCAGCGGCACCACGCCGCCGCGGCCGCGCGGCGTGCGGCGGCAGCACGTCCGACCCACTCGCCGGTCTCGACGTCGGCGACGCCCACCGGCGCCTCCAGGACGGCCAGCGCGAGCCCGCTGCCCGCGCGCGCCGCCCCTCCAGCGCCAGTGGGCACGCCCATCGCGTCGTCTGCGTCCGCCCCCGCCGCGGCCGCGGGCCCAGGGCCCACGGCCGTCGCTCCAGCGGCAGCAGCTCCCGCACCGCCGCCAGCAGCAGGCGGACCAGCGCGCCGAGCAGCGCGCGCCTCCGCCGGGCGGCGGCGCCGACGCCGCCTGGCGCTCCATCGGCGCCGACGGCGCCGCGGGCTTCTTCACCTGCTCCTCCTCGTCGACCTCCTCGCCAGCTGTCAGCACGCGCGGCGCGGCGAGCGCAGCCGAGGCCGCGGGCGGCTGCCACGGCAGCGCGGACGGCCGCCGCAACGAGTGCAGCGCCGTCGCACGTCGGGAGGGCCCCTCTGGCCCGCGCAGCCCGCGCAGCTGCCATCGCGACGGACGGCGGCACGGCGGGCGCGGCGGGCATGCAACCTCTGGAGCCAAAATGCCCCCACTGGGGCCTTCGGTGGGGCTCCCTGCGGTGCCACAGAGCGCTGTACTGGATGTGGCGGACGCATATGCGGGCACCCCCACTGAGGCCCTCGGTGGAGCTCCCTATGGGGCCACGAAGCGGTGCATTGGGTGGGGGGGACCCATGCGGGCGGTAACATTGGGGCCGTCGGAGCTCCTTGGAGGGGAGGAGAAGCAGAGAGGAGGAACGCGGGGACCGTCTCTTCAAAACGAGGACCCAACACCACAGGATGGTTGAGAACACGCAGCGATATGCACCCCAAGACGCCCTCGATATGGGCCCCAGAGGCCTCAAGAGAGCCCCGATGTTGCCAAAGATGGCCCGATGGTGACCCCAGAGTTCTTGAGGTGCCCCAGAGATGCCGCATGATGACTCCAAAGCCCCAGCAACGGACCTTCTCCCCTCCGTGCTCTCGTCATTGCCCTCACTTTTTGGTTCAACTGGCAGCTCACAGGCTCCGTTACCTCACAAACTCATACGGCGGCCTGCCTCGGGAGCCAGCGGGAGACGGCTCCGCCTGGTAAATAAGACAAGATATTATTTGCAACCTTACGGTACATTGAAGCTGAAACGGAAGCGGGAGCCGAACTGAAAGCAGAAGAGAACGGTTCAATTCATGTTACGTTGGGTCAAGTCAAGATGAAGTAAGTGGTGCTTGAGGTAGCGCGGAAGTCAATTACAATGCAATTACATGTTGTCGTTGATGCTCAGCCCGAGTATACAGCTATCGCTGAACCCGAGCAGCCAAACACCATTAAGCTTCACGCTTTGGAGGTCAAGTTTTAGGGACAGTCGAGCCACGCCAGGCCAGGCCAAGCCGTACAAGCTAAGCGAAGCGAGGCTAAATGGAGGTGTTTCCGTTCACGTGAGCCCGCTTCATGTCGGGTACGCGCGGGCAGGTTCGGGGTGCACGCCCCCCGTTGCACTATCGTGTCTGTTCCCCCCGGAGGGTGGGCACGATGTATAGGGTCACGACGTGCCGCAGTTCTCGTGTTCTTCGTTGCCCCTGTACTCCACTCCATCCTGTCTGTCTGGAGGAATGGCGGAGCAGGGGGGAGGAGAGGGAAAGGGGAAAACGAGCAGGAGGAGGGAGGAAGAGGAGGAGGAGTAGGAGGGCAGAGGAAACGGAAAGAAGAGAAGGGAGGAGGGAGGGAGGAGGAGGATGGAGGATGGAGGATGGAGGATGGAGGATGGAGGATGGAGGAGGAGGAAGAGGAGGAGGAGGAGGACCAGTGCAAACCCAAAAGTCATAAACGATGTTGGAGTAAACCATCCCTCCAAGCTCCCTCTTCATAGGCCCCTAAACCGGTTAATTTCCATTGGGGGAATTGCCTCGTTGGAAGACAACCGTTTGAAGACCTTGAAGCATGCGTAAACCGTGTTCTCGGGATTCAACGCCACGGATCAACCTGATTGCTGCGTTCTGACGATCCTGAATCGTGCCAGAACGCCATTCCCGGGACTTCAAACACCGCGAATCAGCGTAACTGTTGCACCCGCACCATCCTGAACCCTTCCACAACACCATTTCTGGTACGTTGACCATGGGAATCCGTGAAACTCGTGCAAAGCTCAAAACGAATGTGCGCGGCGCTGAGGCGAGAGCCACAGTTTGAAAAGGAATCGCCTTCAACCCGTGAAGTTCTTGCATGTGTTTAACGAATGTGCGCGGCGCTAAGGCGGGATCCACATGTTGAAAAGGAACCACCTTAATGCCGTGAAAATTTTGCACATGTTTAGAACGAATGCGCGCGGCGCTAAGGCGAGAGCCATATTTTGAAAACGATTCGCCCTCAAGCCGTGAAACTCTTGCACATGTTTAGAACGAATGTGCGCGGCGCTAAGGCGAGAGCCACATTTTGAAAACGACTCGCCCTCAATCCGTGGAACTCTTGCAAACTTGTAGAACGAATGTACGCGGCGTTGAAGCGAGAGCCACATTGTGAAAATGACCCGCCCTCCATCTGTGAAGCTGTTGCCAACTTTTAGCTTCAGCATCATAAATGGTGAGGGAGTCTCAGGCGAAACGCCCGGCCCGCCATAAAGATTGGCTCCGGGGTGCGACAGG